ATATTGTTCTGTTTGGATTGGTCACACAGTCCTCTCAATATTCTTTCATTCCTAGCAATCCTTTTTTCTCTCTGTGCCTCAGCTTCTTTGTATTCTTTTTCTCTAATTTCTGTTCCATTTACTGTCTCCTCCACTATATCTAATCTGCTTTTAAATCCCTCCATTGTATGTTTCATTTCAGATATGGTATTCTGTAATGATGGAATCACTGTCCTGAATTTTTCCCTGAGTTCTTGAATATTTTTCTGTACCTCCATGAGTATGTTTATGATTTTTATTTTGAAATCTCTTTCAGGAAGATTGATAAGTTCAGTTTCACTCAACTCTTTTTCTGGTGTCTGTGGATTTGGGGCCCAGAGTCTCTAGTCTCTGGAGCTGCTCAGACCCTGGTGTGATGTTGGGGGTCACAGGGGAGCGGTACTGGTGCCTGGGGGGAGGAAAGTGCTGTTTCCTGCTTCCCAGATGCTGTGCCTGGCTCCTGAACCAGTGAGCCGAGCACACAGGTGTGAGCCTCTATGCATTGTGTTTCTAGCTGCCATAGGCAGGGTTTCCCTCTGGCTGGCCTGATGCCAGGGCAGGGGCTTGTGAGCCAGTGTGGGCTGGCCGGGAGGAAGGTGCAGCAGGCTGTGTAACACAGTGTGGGGCTTTGGAGCTGCATAACCAGTCAGGGTGATAGAGCACCTGAAGGTTTCCAACCTGCTGAGCAAAGTGCACTGGACAATTTTGTCCACCTTTCCTTTCTACTGAGCAGTAAGCTCTGTAATCCTTACCCCTTTAGCAGCCCTCTTGCTGTTAGGAAGTCTATCAGACTTCCCTCCTTTCTTTTGTCCCAGAGCAGCTGGATGTGGATCCCTGTTTTCTACCAGTGGCTAGAATCTCAGTCTCTCCAGGTATTCTGCCTGTCTTAGCTTTCCAATCCCACTAATCACCAGAGCACCATGCAATGTCGATTCATGCTCCCGGAGCACATCTCCATGGCTGGATGTTCAGCAGTCCTAGGCCTCCACTCCCTCCCCTCTCTGTTTCTCTTCCTCCTGCTGGTGAGCTGGGGTGGGGGAAGGGCTTGGGTCCCACCAGATCATGTCTTTGGTATGTTACCCTGTTCCATGAGGTCTGTTCTTTTCTCCAGATGTATGCAGTCTGGCACAGCCTTCTTTCCTGTTGTTCTTTCACAATTAGATGTATTAATTATATTTTTGTATTATATATGGTTTTTGGAGGAGGCCTCTGTCTCACCTCTCACCCCACCATCTTTAATCTGCAAAATCCTAAACATTTCCAGAAGAGCTGATACCCATCCTTTATAAAGTATTCCCAAAAATAGGAGAGGAGGAGGGAATGTTTCCAACTCAACTCATATGAGGCTGGCATCACTCTAGTACCAAAACCAGACAAAGACACTATCAAAAAAGAAAATTATAGACCAATATCCCTGATGAACATAGATGCAAAAATCCTCAACAAAATATTAGCAAACAGAATTCAAAAATACATCAAAAAGATCATCCATCAGGACCAAGTGGGATTTATTCCAGGGATGCAAGGATGGTACAATATTTGAAAATCAATCAATATCATACACCACATCAACAAAAAGAAGGACAAAAATCACATGATCATCTCAATACATGCTCAAAAAGCATTTGACAAAATTCAACATCTGTTCATGATAAAAACTCTCAACAAAATGGGTAGAGAGGAGGGAACATACCTCAAAAAGTACAGGCCATGTACATCAAACCCTTAGCTGACATCATACCCAATGGTGAGAAACTGTAAGCTTTTCCTTTAAGATCAGGAACAAGACAAGGAAGTCCACTCTTACTACTATTATTCAACATAGTATGGATATCCTAGCCATGGCAGTCAGACAACAAAGAGAGATAAAAGGTATCCAGATTGGTAAGGAAGAAGTAAATCTGTCACTATTTGCAGATGATACAATACTATATATAGAAAACCCTAAACACTCCACCAAACAACTATTAGAACTAATACCTGGATTCAGCAAAGTTGTAGGATACAAAATCAAGATACAGAAATCTGTTGCATTCTTTTATCCTGACAGAGAACTAGCAGGAATAGAAATCAGGAAAGCAATTTTGTTTATGAGTGCACCACAAAGAATAAAATACCTAGGAATAAACCTAACCAAAGAGGAGAAAGACCTATACTCTGAGAACTATAAGACACTGATGAGAGAAATTGACACAAATAAATGGAAATCTATCCCATGCTCATGGATAGGAAGAATCAATATTGTCAAACTGGTCACCATGGCAAAGCAATTTACAGATTCAGCAGTTCCTATTAAAATACCAATGGCATTTTTCAAGGAACTAGAGTAAATGATTCCAAAATTCATATGGAACCACAAAATATGGGGATATTACTCTCCTTGAATTCAAGCTATACTACAAAGCTACAGTAATCAAAACAGTATGGTGCTAGCACAAGAACAGACCCATAGATCAATAGAACAGAATAGAGAAACCAGAAATAAACTCATGCATGTATGTTCAGTTAATATAATAAAGGAGCCATGAATATGCAATAGGGAAAAAACAGTCTCTTCAATAAATGGTATTAGGAAAACTGGACAGGTACATGCAAGAGAATGAAACTAGATTACTGTCTTACACCATATACAAAAGTAAACTCCAAGTGGATTAAAGACCTGAATATAAGACATGAAACCAAAGAACTCTTAGAAGAAACCATAGGCAAAAATCTCTTGAAGATAAGCATGAGCAATATTTTTCTGGACAAGGGAAACAAAAGCAAAAATAAACAACTACATCAAAGTAAAAAGCTTCTGTACAGCAAAGGATACCATCAACAAAACAAAACGGCAACCTACCATATGGGAGAATATATTTGTAAATGATTTATCCAATAAGAGGTTAACATCCAAAAATATATATATAAATCATTTAACTTGGCACCAAAAAACCCCACAAATAACCTGATTAAAAAATGGGCAGAGGACCTGAATAGACATTTTTCAAAAAAAGATATACAGATGGCCAATAGGCACATGCAAAGATGCTCCATCTCCCTAATACTAAGGAAATGCAAATCAGAGCCACAATGAGATATCACCTCACACCTATAGAATGGCCACCATCCAAAAGACAAGAAATAACAAGGGTTGGCAAGGATGTGGAGAAAAGGGGACTCTTCTATACTCTTAATGGGAATTAAATTGGTTCAGCCACTATGTAAAGCAATATGGACATTACTCAAAAAACTTAAAATAGAACTGCCACATGACCCAGTCACTCCATGTCTAGGAATTTACCTGAAGGAAACAAAATCTCAGATTTGAAAAGACATCTGCACCACTATGTTTATTGCTGCATTATTTTAAAAAGTTAAGATATGGGAGCAACCAAAGTGTCCATCAGTAGATGAATGGATGAAGAAGAAGTGGTACATATACACAATGGAATATTATTCAGCCATAAAAAAGAGAAATCCTGCCATTTGCAACATGGATGGATCTAGAGGGTATTATGCTAAGTGAAATAAACTAGGTGGAGAAACACAAATACCATATGATTTCACTTATAAGTGAAATCTAATAATAAAACAAAAAAAATGAACAAAACAGCAATAGACCTTTAGACACTGAGATGTGACTGATGGTTACTATGGTCAGGGGTTGAGGTGGTTGGGCTGGGTGGGTGAAATAGGTGAAGTTTATAAAGAGGCACAAAATCTCAATTGTAATATAATTAATCATGGGGATGAAAGTATAGCATAGTGGGAGCAACCAAAGTGTCCATCAGTAGATGAATGGATGAAGAAGAAGTGGTACATATACACAATGGAATATTATTCAGCCATAAAAAAGAGAAATCCTGCCATTTGCAACATGGATGGATCTAGAGGGTATTATGCTAAGTGAAATAAACTAGGTGGAGAAACACAAATACCATATGATTTCACTTATAAGTGAAATCTAATAATAAAACAAAAAAAATGAACAAAACAGCAATAGACCTTTAGACACTGAGATGTGACTGATGGTTACTATGGTCAGGGGTTGAGGTGGTTGGGCTGGGTGGGTGAAATAGGTGAAGTTTATAAAGAGGCACAAAATCTCAATTGTAATATAATTAATCATGGGGATGAAAGTATAGCATAGAGAATATAGTCAATAGTTCTGTTAACATCTATGTTAATAGTAACTATACTAGTTGGAGGTGAGGACTTATTAATGCATATATAAATGTTGAAACACTATGTTGTATACTCAAAACCAATATAATATTGTATATCAGCTATACTTCAGTTTTTAAAAATGGAAAACAAAGAAAGATACCTCTCAGTTAGCCACCTCAGAGCAAGAAAATGTGAGAGGAAAAGTCGCTGCTTTAGGAGTAACAAAAGTTAATAGATAAGAGAGAAGGCAGAATTCATGAACTACCACACATGCCTAGAAAAACTAGCACAGACCTCACAGGTGATAAGATAGCAAGATGTAGATGAGTATGACCTTCCAGGCCCAGGGGACCTCCACCCTGGGGAATGGCGGGCCCGCAGCCTTGTTCTCAGTGTCCCTGTCAACAATCTGAGAAATCATGATTTCAGAGAGATGCCACAAGCTGAGGAAAGAATGCTGTCCCAATTTTCAAAATTATGAAAATAATATATTCTAAAATCTGTAGACAAGAAATCTTGGTGTTGATCTTTGGCAAAATTCAAGAATGGATTATTTCACAGAGAGTATGTGAGCAGTTAGAAAATAGTACTAGGAACCAGTGTTTTCTCTAAAAGCAAGGGAGGCCTCATTCAATGAGAGGCGCGAGGATGCTGTGGGAGATCCCCATTCCCTAGGGTGTACAGGTAGAGGGAGCCTGTGTCCTCCGCATCCCCCGGTAGGCTGCAGTGTAAGCTCAGCTTCCTTTGCCTTAGTCCTCTTCGTCAGGATGGATGTGTTTGGGCTCCTCTTCCTGCTGCCACACAATATAATACTCCTGGGTACTGTTCACCAGAGCACTCCCAGGAAACAGAACACCTGAGGGGGGCGCTCCTGTCCTCTCGATCTCGGCTTCAAGAGCTGGAAATAGAGCTGGAGCACCACAGGGTGGATCGACAGCAGCTTTTAGAAGACTTAAAGGAGAAGCAGCAGGAGATCCTGTGTTTCCAGGAGGAACGACTGTCGCTGCAGGAGAAAGACTCCAGGTGATTGCAAAGGAAGGTGGCATAGTTTTCAGGTTAGAATAAGGCAAGTCAATTAATGACTCCCTTTGGAAGCCTTGGTTTCCCTTCTGCAACCCCTCATTTATGGGTGATTTTGAACAGAAGGAAGGACTTCTCTAGCAAGTCCATTTACATTCCAAAGTTGAAAAAACAAAACCCTGTTATAGAAGGCTTCAGTGTATCAGATACTGGAGAAAGAATATTCTCGTGCTTCCAGCTAGTTTTGGATAGTAGTCTCACTGTAACATAGGAAGCATCCACACTGACCATGAAAGAGTCCCCATCACAAACCCTAGAACTGCTTGTCAGCATGGAAATAGCACTGTAGAGGCAGTGACAGTACTGTGCTGGTGTGTCCCAGCTCATGTAGTTAATGGTGTGACTCCAGGGAAAGTTGGTTTGTCCCTCTGAACCTTGGGTTCCACATCTGTAAAATAAAAACAGTGGTTTTCATGACCCCGGAGTTGACATCTAGGTCTAAAACTGTGATGCAAAGGTTGGCTTATTGCTTATTGCTCTGGTGTGGCTGAGTGGCCTCACCAGCTCAGCGGGCCCTCACCTCTCCCTCGCAGGCTGCAGCATAAACTGGCCCTCCTTCAGCAACAGTGTGAAGAGAAACAGCAGCTATTCCAGTCCCTCCAGTCAGAGCTACAGATCTATGAGACACTTTATGGCAATTCCAAGAAGGGGCTGAAAGGTATGTGTTCCCCCTACTCCCCCACCCCCACGAGCTTCCTGCCCCCTTGCTTAGTTCTGTAGAGGTCTTTACCTTGGGAGTTGTGGAGATCTGGAAAGCTACAGAGTTCTGTCAGAAAAAGCCCCAGCCAGGCCCAGGGCTCCCAATAAGAAGAGAAGGGGCCTGTCATACACAAATCCTAGAGGTTGGTGACAGCAAGATCCAGCCCACACAGCCTTAAAAAGAGGCCACAAGAGTCAAACTTCACTCCCTAGATGGCCAGTGACAGGTGAACCAAAGTTTAGATTATACAATGATTTCTTTTAAAGACAAAACACTGTCCTGATGGTACCATCACTTGAAAAGGTCTTAAATATTGTGTCTGATGCATACTGACCACACATGCAGCCACAGCAGCAGGCAACCTGTTCCCCTCCTGACCTCTTCTCTGGTGAGAAAAGATGTAAAAAGTATTTACAGAAATACCACTAATAGAACCTAAATTTCAAGCCTGGGTTTACATTTTAAACTCTTTTATTGAGGACTTTTGCCACCTGCTGATATAATAATCTAGTATTTGAGAATCTTTGTATTTTCTCATTGCTCTCCAAATGGGAGAGGATATTCTAAATACAAAATTTAGAGCCAGGCAGCCTGAAAGAGAGGGATGATGTCAATGTGATGAAATTTAGCAAAGATTTTTGTTTTTTTAATCCTGACCTTGATGAAAAACATCAGAGGTAGAACTATAGGTTGGTGGGGCCTGGCGTTATAGCCATTCATGGGCTCAAGGATGAGAGAACTAGGTAGAAACACATTTATACAAGGTTGCTAGAAAAGCCAACTCAGACTGAGATCCCAGTAGAGAAAGTGATGTGCGTATGATGAAACCAGGTCAGAAATACTGTTAGATTGTGGGACAACATCTTGTGAAAGGGACATTGACTAACTAGGGATATAATGAAGACAGGGGCTACAATGCTCAGGGCCCAGAAATGACAAACCAATTGAAGAAACTGAAATGTCTCAGGCTTGAAAAAGATCATGAGAAGAGAAGACTGGCTTTAAATATTTGAAGAACTTCCAGGAGAAGAAGATCTAATGTATTTTGTGTCCCTTCAGAAGGCTAAACAGGGCCAAAGGGTGAGGGCAATGGAATTTGGATCTATATAATTAACCCTTCCTTCCAGTTGGGGAATGGTTGGTTTGTGAAGGACTAAGCTCCCCATGCAAGTCCTAGTTAAACAGCAAGGAATAATTTGTCAAGGATCCTATAGAAGCCCTTCTTGGTTTTGATGGGATGTTGATTCTCTAAATCTCTTAACTCTAAGCTTTCTTGATTATATGCTTAAAAATTCTTTAAGCAATTTATCTAATTATAGAAGTATTTTCACTGTGCAGCCAAATTTGAATTTTCATGAATCATGATTAAATTTCTTAATGTGATGATGAGAAGGTGAACCACAACTTGAAGAAATAATGGGGGCACAGCAGGCTGAGATAATAGCTTTTGTACAAAGTCATGGAGTGTTGGGTCAAGGGACGATGACCCTGCCTATAGAGGAGCTTTGTATCAGGGCGTGTGAGAACTCAGGGTAGTTGAAAGGAGAGGTGCCAGTATTATAGAAGGCCTATGAGGTAGATGAGAGATTACATCCTTTGTAGTAGGCAATGGGAAATGAGTGGGTCTTTTCCAGGCCAAATAGGGCCATGATGGAAACAGAACTCTAAGATGGAAAGACCGGTGAGACATCCTGGGGTTGGGAGACATTAGAATCAGGGAAACTGATTGAATGGGCATACTGGCATTCCAGGCATTAAGTGATGTGAGTTTAATACAAGGTGCAGCCAGCAAGATAAAGGAGAATGCATAGGTAAAAAACATTTTTTAAAAATCAGCAAAACTTTGTGAGAATTTGGATTTAGGGAAAGTAAGGGAGGAAGCATCCTAGAATGGGGAGATTAGTATCTGTAAACCACTTCATTCTGAACTATCTCCCCTTTTATGTCTTTCCCCTTTTTATGGATCTTTTAAGATTTATTTCCAAGCAACCTCCACTAAAGCCCCACAACTCCTTATCCTTAATTCTATAATCCAACAAGAGCTCTGAATTGAATTCTTTTTTATAGACTCCTTTGGTAACAAAACCTAACTGAACTGACAGAGAGTATTCATAGTTTTCATCCATCCTATTTAGTGAAGATATTCACCTACCTCACTGCAGAAGTGTGAATGCCTGGTGAAGGGCTGATGCCCACATGCAGCGGGGTGCGTGTGTAGTGGTGTGTGCATCCTATTGCCCTGCTGAGAACCAAAATAAGTTCTACCTTTGGAAATACATTTGGATTTAAAGTTTTCAGACAAGACATAGTGGTTTTATAGACTATTTCTTAGATCTCTTCATCCCCAGTATGTAGAAATAGACTATGTAAGCTGAGTGGAGGTGAAAAACATGGAGAAGTTGAACAGTTCAATTAGTTATGGTCCCTGGTCACTGGTGCCCGAACTTCCATTCTGCCAAAAGGTATGAGGCCTTCTGCATCCTCTCTCCTCTGATTCTTGAGTGTGGGAATCATCCAACCTTCTCCTCTGCCCTTGCCCTTCTCTAGTTCAGTGCTGACTCCTTTAGAAAACTCTGTGCTCTAGCCTGCAGGACTAAGGTTAATTTGGAGATGAAATAATAGGTTTGACCTCATCTGCCAACTAGATGCCCTCTAGATACATGTGGGTCATTTGACCCTCAGGGAAATTCCAAATGGAGTGAGTGCCATCTCAGTGTGTGCCAGGCCCCAGACAAGAAAAGTGACACCTCCATTGGGTGCTGCCTAGGATCCTGAGATGGCAGTGGTGTCTGTGGCAGAAAGGAAGGTCACAGAGGAGTGTTCTGACAAATGCTTGGATATACTTGGATCAGTGCCCCCAGCCCCAGCCCTCTCTTCTTTCAGCTTACACCTGGGATGCCTGTCCTTTGAGTGGTGACTTGAGCTATGTGGTGGCAGAGATCCGAGCTTTGAGAGGGCAGCTGGAGCAGAGTATTGAGGTGAACAATGGTCTGCGACTGCAGCTGGAACAGCAGTTGGATGGTGGCAGTGGCAAAGCCAGCCTCAGCCCCTCCTCCATAAACCAGAACTTCCCAGCCAGCACTGGCCCTGGAGACAAGCAGCCACGCTTCCAAGGTAGGAAGGAAAAGGGAATCAGGAAGCCCTCGGCCCCTGGGGAGGTCGCCAGGATGTCTGTGGTGGGATGGACATCTGGTCTCTTCCATGCTCCTTAGGGTCAGGATAAAATCCGGAAATGCTCCATTCTAGTGCCGTGAGTGACAGCAGGCAATTTAGGGTGGACCTGGCTCTAGATTCTGAGTTTCTGAGTTGGCCACTTACACGTTGTTTTCTTTGAGCAAGGTGTTTAAACTCCTCAGTTATTTAAGCCTTAGTTTCCTCATCTTTAAGATGAGAATAATAATAATATAAACCTTGTATAGTTATTGGGAGCATTTGATGAAATAATTTACACATGCCTGACAATCAGAATCGCTCAACAAGTCATGTATGATACCTTTGTGGAGTCGGTCTTAAAAATTTACCACAAGTTTTTAAACAAATTTTTCAAACAATTCATGAGAGGTAGGGCAGATTTTAATCTCTCTATCTCACAGGAGGAATTTTAGGGATTGAGCCACTGGCTGACCTGCTAAGGTTTACAGGAGCTAATAGCCGAAATGGGGACTCGAGCTAGATGTTTTGATTTCCAGTCTGTGTTCCTTCCCCCTCACCATGCTCTGTCTCGGCACTGCTGGCTTTTCCCAGTGCCATGGCCCGGCTTCCTATCCCCTAACTGGTGGGGAGCGCAGCGGTATTCCTGTCCCAAGGAAATCCTGGCTATGAGACAGCAGTGCTGGCACCTGCTTCTGCTCCCATCCTGCCTGCCTGGCCACAGAGGAAGGTTAAGCCAGTTCTCTCCCTCTCTGCCCAATGTCCTCATCAGTCTCACTTCCTCCAGTTTTTGTATGAATGTTAATTCTGTCTCCACACCCCAGCCTCTTGTCACATTAATTTCAACTTCTTTCTGTCCTTGAAACTCACCATCTCCACTCACCTCCACAGCCACATCCTCAACTTTATTCTCCTCAGGAATCATTTCTGCCCAGGATTATTTTCATGCCTGCTTTCCCTGGGGCATGTTAATCCTTATTTTTTCCCCCGGTTCTGCTAGATTTTCACTTATCAGACAGTGACCTCCTCTCTCAAATGAAAGTGACACTCCTGAGATCATGTGGCCAGTAAATAAGAATGCATGTGTTGCCAAGTTTAGCGCCTGGTAAGGCGGCACTGCCGGGCCTCCTCAGGTGGATGCTCAGCCTCCTCAGGCTGCCCTGGTGACCGCAGGGGCCAGCCACACCTCCTTTCTGCCTCACCAGGCTCTCCCCTCCCTGCCTTCCCGAAGCACCGAAGGGCTCAGCCTGCAGACCCAGTCGCTGCTCCTCCCGCTTCATGCACCACAGAGGCCTGAGCTGAAAAGCAGGCTCTGTGCCTCACTGGTCTGAGCAGAATCGTTTCTGTCCTCTTTGTGGTATTTTCCCAGTCCTCCAAGGTGGGACTGCTGCCTGGTGTCCAGGAGGCATCTCTAACCACCAAGGCTTCTGTCTCCTTGTTAGTTAGTCATTTTTCCAGTACTGACCCGTGAGAATGGTCACTGGAATGCTGAGTTCAATCATCCCATAAATCCATTCTTTGATTCAATATTTATTACATTCCATATATACTGTATACATATTGATGCATATTTATAGTTAAAATGCTTGTATTAGACAGCATTTACAAAATTATATTCAAAACTGGGGTTAGAAAAATGTACCTAATAAGTTTTCAAACCAGAAGTTGCTTCCACATGGAACACCCTCAATTAAAGGAGCATCTGCTTGCTCCAAGCATAGTGATTGGCCAGCTGTTGCTCTTGATTGTGGTATGTGGGTGACAGCTATGTAAGAGGGGGGCCCTGCTGCCTTAGACCTCTGTCAGAGAGGAGAAGGCTGTGCATGTGCTTGTGAGCAGTGTGGTGCGGCGCCCCCAAGAGCTGTTCTTGTCTCTATGCCCTAGATGCAGTTGCTTCCCCTCCAGTTCGGGACGTCGGCATGAATTCTCCAGCTCTGGCCTCTCCCACCTCTTCCACAGCTGCGGGATCAGAGGCCACCATCCCCGATAGGACAAGTGGTAAGTATAGCAACTAAAGGAGTCAGAAACCAATGGGAAATTATTACTGGAAGTACCCTTTGGTTGCCTACAGACACATTATCTGAATTTAGAGACTTTCTGCATGTCCCAAGGCTTTTAGCCCTACGCATTGCAGCTTCTGCGGCCTCCTTGCCGGTCATTATTCTTCCTGCTTTGGTTTTCCTGTCACTGTGTTGTGGCTTCATTGCACTGTAATCTCTCCCTTCTGCAAAGTGCTCTCTGTATCCAAGTTAATTTCCTTGTTTGTGTCTTCTCAACCTGAAAATTTTAAATCTTTCTATTAATAATATTTGTCATGAATATTTCATTTGTCATTAAGGATAAGATTTGCCTCCTAGCAATTCATCATTGTGAGATGCTGTAAGGAAAGATTCTAAAAATACAGAATCCAGGATATCTATGGACATCACATCATGCTTGTATTTTCCACGACTGTCTGTCTTGTCCTGACCTCTTCGGTGTCTGATGTCTCGTTTGGATTCAAGTGAACTGAGGTGGTGGTCATGAATAACAGTGGGTTCTGTGGTGTGGTTATATTTTTCAGAGCTGAGTTTGGCCACTTCTCCAGGAATGAAGAACCCACCTGAGCTACTGGGTGGTGCTACCGATGGCTCCTTTGCCAATAAGCATGGCCGCCATGTCATTGGCCACATTGATGACTACAGTGCCCTGAGGCAGCAGGTTGGGGAGGGCAAACTGCTGGTCAAAAAGATAGCATCTCTTCTGAGGTCAGCCTGCAGCTTCCCTAGCCTTGAAGGCCAGGGCACAGAGGTAATCACACCACAGCTCTCAGGTGTGCTTTCTCTCTGTGCCCCTTCCTCTGGTCTCAGCTCTTTCTCCCACAACTGGTTTTCATGCTCTACATCTCCCAGCAGCTAAGGATGCATCTCCCACTTACATGCAGCCAGGCCTTTCTTCCCCATCTCCTCCTTCATTCTGAAGTCTGCTTCATGCAGGTGTAGACAACACGGAGTTCCCTCAGAGGCAGAGTAAAGCCCATGTGGCACGGGGGCCTCAGTAGGAGCCTCCACATGGTCCTGCGCCACACACCTTTTCATAGCTTCATGTTTGTTACAATCATGCTGGCACAGGGCTCTTCCTGGCAGAATAAAACCATTTAATCAGATGGCTAGAACCTGAGTACATATATCCACACAGGCCACCTGTGTGGAAGGGGTGAGAAGCCTGGCAGCCAGGGCATTTCTTGGTTCAGACAGAGCAGGGGAGGAAAGCAGGCAGTGAGACTTCTCAGAGCCCCTCACCACTAAGGGGATGGATACCAGCCTCTGGGCTGCCTGAGCCACTGGAGATGCAGGGACACGATGGGACAGGCCTGTTCCCAGGAGCTCCACACTGGAGAGGAAGACACACGTCTGAGTAAAGACAACAGCAGGGGCTCCAGGCAGTGTTAGAAGTTGTTCTGGGGGCAAGGGCATGAACACAGAAACCCCTTGTCCCAGGCAGGATGGTGCACAGGTTGCTGGGGAATGGCAGGCATTCCAGGTAAGGGGCGCAGCACCACAGACCCTGGAGCTATGAATGGTTAAGCCCAGTTGAGGCATTAAGTGTGATTGAGGGAGCAGTAAGGGGTGACAGTGGCAAAATTAGGGACCCTACTATTGAAAGCATGGGAGCAGGACTAGAAGCATAAGGAAAGTGTGGGAGAAGTGGGCATCAAAGGCATTCTTGCCAGCGGGAGGGCTCTCTGCAGTGGCAGATCCTGGTTTTCCAGGTTAGAAGAGGGTTTCTTTCACTGGGTCAAGCAGGTCCAGGTCTGCCCACATCCCTCACAAAGGAAGCTTGAACCCTGTGCTCAGGAAAGTGATCTCCCAGCCCCAGCGATGCCCACAGCTGCCTCCCTGTGTCCCCAGGTGCCTGTCAGCAAAGGCATCCATGAGCTTCAGAGCAGCACCAAGGCCCTGCGTCGCACGATGGAGGAGTCAGCCGCCCTCCTCGCCATGTTCTGGCGGGCAGCCTTGCCAAGCTCCCCTAGCCCCGTGTTGCCAGGCCAAGCGGTAAGAAGCCAGCGTCCTTTACTGGTTCTGCCCCAAATGTCATTCTGCCTCCTCAGTCCTGTAGGTCCTGCTGATCAAGAGTTGAATGGTGAGAGGGGCAGACAAACCCTGGAGAGAGGCCTCTCATTCGTGGTGGCTGCTCTCCAGAAACTCTGTCCCTTCCTCTCCCACCCGGCTCCCTGGGAGACGAAATCAGGGAGGGAAAGGGAAGGATATGCAGAAGGCCGGACAGGAGAACCCTGGCCACACATGAATGTTCAGTTTCTTTAACTTTCTGGAATTTGGCTAAGCTGAAGCTCAGGGACATGTTACAGTGTCAACACCTCCTCCCTGCCCACAGGTCCACATGCTCAAGCATGATAACACAGTGTCACCATGAAACAAACAGGCTCCTTTAGCCACTTACTAGCATTCCAACACATTGCTTAAAGCTGCAGTTCTGGGTCAGGCCTGGAGAGAGTGAGCCAGCCCCCAGATGCTCTCGGATTTCTGGTTGGCAGAACTTTGGACAGGCAGGTTCCCTAATCTCCCGGGGATTCTGATTGCAGGTTAATATCACTGACACCTTAGGGGCACAACTCTGCTAATTCCAAGGAGGGGGTGTTTTGCTATTTTGAGGTTGGGGCACATATTTACAAAGCTGCAGACTGTCTCAGGCTAGGCGTGTCTCCCCAGGCATCAGTGTTCCTTAGGATGCCCGAGTGGGGTAGCTGACGTCAGCACGAAGTCTGAGCTCTTGCTCACAGCCGGCAACAGAAGTGTGGGCCTGGGCTAGTCTGCTTGGGGGCGACCGGGTTCTCAGTGTCCCTTCCTAATGGCCTCATCCTAAGTGGTCATCAGCTAGGGAACTTTAGAGCCCTCAGTAGAGGGATTCCACCAGAATAAGTTGGGAATGTCGAAGAATCCTATTTTGGGTTGTAAAGAGCCGCAAAGCCTGGGGTGCTTCAGGCCTTCTGCCCATTGACAGAGAGCCTGTTCCTCTTCCCCAGGGAGAGTCCATGAAAAGGGAGCTTCTGGAACTGAGAACCAAACTATCCAAACAGGAGGGTGTCCTTCAGAGCACAGCTGAGCGTCTGAAGACAGCCAACCAGCAGAAGGACAGCATGGAGCAATTCATCTTCAGCCAGTGTGGGTGCCCCAAAGCCGGGGCCGGGAGAGGAAATGGAGGGCTTCCAGAGTTCCCATTCATGGTGCAGACGAATGGTGGCCGGAGGCTGGGGGAGGGGGAGACTGGTATGCTGTCCTGAGCCTCCTGTGTCATGGTAACCATGAATGCGCAGGCCGGGGCCCATGGGGACAGCAGGAGACCCTGAATGGTCAGACAGACACGCAGAAGAACACACACCCAAGCCAAGTATGGGCCCGGCTGGTAATTTCTTTCTTGCTGGGCTGTTTCATTGTTTCAGTGACCAGGACACATGATGTTTTGAAGAAGGCAAGGACTAATCTGGAGGTAAGGAAACCACAGCACCGGTCAGAGCTGCAGAGCCCTCCCCAAACCACATCATTTGCATCAGAATCTGTGGGTGATATTCGACCTGCGCTGGCCTTCCCAGAGACCACAAGTCCCCTCGTGGGGCGCAGGTCCTCAGGAAGCACCCTTCTCATTTCCACCCCCGTCACCTCTCCCACCAAAGCAGTAACTCCCTTGACATCTCAGTCACACCCACATTGTCATCAGCTTCTCTCTTCACTCCAGTTCTCCTCCATGCCAAGTTGGGACTCTGGACAAATGTGAGTCAGTTGATTCTCACAATCAGAGGACGTAGGGGAGTCCACCTCTGAATTAGCTTTCAGTAAAGGGATCTTGGGCCAGTTACATATTCTGGTGTTTCTGTACCACTTAATGAAAAACAAAAGCAAGAAGCAACCTAACAAACTGACGTCACTGCACACGGTGGGGCTGAGCACAGCCATTGGGCAGTGATTTATCTTTTCCTTCAGGCAACATCACAAAAGAAAACCACTGGATCCTGTGACCTAAAAGAGAATGTGATGATAAATAGAAACTGAAACTTAAACAGGAATACGTTGTATCTATGGCAGGCATTCTCTACATTTACTTAAAATAATAGCACATTCCCTAGAAAGTTCTTTGAAGAAAAACTTGAGATGTATGAAATGGCTTAAAAATCACAAACTAAGCCTTTTAACTTGGATTTTATAGTTTTGCTGTGATCAATTGAGTGTATTCCTAGGAGTTTCCCTAAATTGTGACCTGAGAGAATGCTGGTCCCACAGTATGAAAATGGATTTGGCCATGATTTAACTCTGCTCCTTTTCTTTCTTTTTTTTTTTTTTTTTGGCTATTCCTTTCTTTCCTGAGTCTTTTTAGAAGAACACTTACAAGATTGCTTCTAGAAAGCCTTATTCCTGTCCCAGAAAAGGTAACGCAACAGCCTCACATCCCCGCTGGCTTCTTTGGGTCTGGAAGTTTCCTCTCCACCTCTGCTCTAGGCCATTAGAAGGGGCCCGAGGCCTGGGTTCTAATCCAGGCTTGTCACTGTTTTTGTGGCTTTCTTTGCGAGGTGGCATTAGACTGCAATGACCTCTGAGCTCCTGCTGACTTGGCCTCTCCCTCCGTCCTTAAGTAAATGGGACACACACTGAGCAGGGCCCTTCCCTGCCAAGGGCCCTTCCCTGCCAAGGGCCCTTCCCTGCCAAGGGCGCTGGCCTTCCTGCACCAGGCTGTTCTGTATGTACATATTTCATAACAGGCCCTTCTCCTGGGAGATCACAAAAGCCATCATTTTGCTTCACAGTGAATTAGAGAGTGAGAGGGGCCCTAGAGAAGGAGTGGTGGGATCAGGCCTTCTGGTGTGCAGTGGCTTTGCGAGGGGCCATCACCACTCCAGCTGCTGGGGAAGCTTTCCCTCCAACGGGTGGCACCAGTTGCTCTGCCAGACCTCAGTGCCTGCCCTCAGCTCAGCCTCTCGTCAGGCTCTCACCCTGCTGCTGGCTTCTGTCACCACTCAGTGCTCACTCCAGCCTCAGTGAGCCACAGCAGAGCCTGGGAACTGGCTCGCACTTTGTTTTATCTTTGTCTCCAGGTGAAATCCCGAAGGGCTCTTCCATGCACTCCAGTCTTGTGACCCTTGCCTTCCAGGAGCCACGCAAGAAGTGAAGCCACCAGAGGTCCTTAAAACAGCAGGAAGGATGGGCCTGCCCGCCTTCTGCCCAGCTACCTGTCTGCTGAGGAGGATCTGGAGCCCACTTCTCCACCGCTTGAGGGCCCAGAAGGAGCCAAAGATGTGGCCTGTGAGGCTGGGTGGAAGGCAGGGGCCTCTCTTGCAGTTGTAGACTACCATCAGCCGAGGGCCAGTGGCTCAGCACTGAGCCCAGTGTGTGTAGCTTGTAGAGGACATTGTGACGCTGCTTCTGAATGCCCCACAGGCGTGGGAACTAGCAAGAGCACATTTCTCGCCTCAGTACCTATCCTCAGATGGTGAGCTCAGGGGAAATAGGACCCTGCTTCCCTCAAATGGGGCATGTGGTCCCAACGCTGGTGCTCCTCAGCAGTTCTAAAAGCACATGACTGAGCTGCGCTGCCCTGCTAGACAGTGGGGCTCAGCCAGCCCTGCTCACAGATCCACCCCTGACTGGGGCCAGCTTAGACGCATCATCGGCAGGCTGGATTGGTCTGCACTGCAGCACCTGAGTTCTTTGAATCCACAGGGTGATAGCAGTGACTTCCCAGATGCCATCCCTTGCTTAGCCTAGCACCTCCTATTTCTAGTCTCTTGTGATCTCCAGAATGTACTGACCTCACTCTAAATATGCTGTCCTGTTTTATCATCCTGACTTTCCTCTTGGGAACTGGGGACTAAAGGCCAGACTAAGCCCATTGAAAGTCGTGTGTGAAAGAAAGTGATCATCTTTAAGTGGAATGTGTGCCCCAGTTGTGCTAAGACCTAGACTGTGTCTTCACAGTGCTTTAGAATGTGTGTATGTGTGTATAAATATAGTATATATTTATATATGTTCCTATAGCCATATGTTGAAGGCTAACATAACCGGTGGACAGGGTCGGTGAGAGGAAGTCTTTTTGGTGGCTATTAAAGCAAAATGTGTATAAAGAAAGAAAAAATTTTCTTCACCTGCTTTGTTTCTAATTTTTATCCCAATGTCTGGGCTGAGCGTATAAGAATAAGAAATGGTGAACTATTGTTAAGAAGCTCATAGTCTAATGCTTAAAGCCTAAGTTTTAAAGAGTAAGTTTTTCCTTCTTTGTCATTTTATAGGAATCCCCAGTCTAAAAATATAGAAGAGCAGTTCTGAAATTTAGGGTGCCTTAGTCTCAGCTGTGGGGTTTATAGAAGCTACTTCCTGGGCTCTAGTCCCAAGAGATTTAGTCAGTGTGGAGACCTCAAATCTGCATTTTTCCCATATGCACCCCAGCTGATTCTGATGCAGGTGGGCTGCAGACCACAGTTTAAAATACATTGTTCTATAATAGTGAATCAAAACTATAAATACACTTGTCTTATTTTAATTAAGAACCATTAACTGAAAAATAACTTGTTCCGTAAATGCTGACACACATTTCTTAATGTATTCCTTGGGGTAAGTCCTTACTTAGGTCCTTTTGCCTCCAGAACTAAAGCTATCGCTCCACAATTATTTCCTAGAAACAGATGAAAAAAATGTAAAACAAGCAACAACAGCAAGAACATAAACTCAAACACTGTCACCACAAGCACCACCAACAGCAATGACAAGAAGATCCGTCAGCAGATTCTGGCCTGGGGCAGAGACACACCCCACTCTCAGTGGGTGGCATGACCTCAGCACCTGCTTTTACACTCAGTTGTTTAAGTATTTCCAATGAGTGCCTTTGGCTGCCCACACAGAGGAACTCACTGGCAGAATAAACAGAACGATGAAAGGTCAGCAAATCCATAGTTGAGTAAAGACAAAGTAGCAGAATTTGAGGCCCTCTTGCTTATATTACCAATCACCCTATGCATACTCAGGCATCCCAGCAGATCTCCCGGTGCTCCAGGGCCAGTAGGCACAGTGAAAGATCAGTAATCAGGGAGGACTCAAATGTTGCTTTTAAGAAACTCATCATTACATCCAATCACAAATTACACTTGGGGAAAAGCCTTAGAAGCCATTCTTGTATTTCACCCTTTGTGAAGTGTTGAGAAGTAACTCTGTGCTTTGATTAAGACTTGTAAAAATATATCTTTGAATGGAGGATTCACCAATATTTAACGGTTTGTAAATTCTTTTCCTCTGTGTGACAGAAGCAGGGCCCATTCTTAAAAATAAAAGAGTCTTTGTGGCCACTGATATCTTCCAATTTGCCCTGATTCCGATAAGAACCATGTTGAGCTCTGTGCAGGCAGCAGGGTGAAGGTCCTACAGAAAAGAATGGGAAAGAAAAAAGATGGCAGGGACCTAACAGAACATCTGCACATGGGAAACTAGCTCTTGACCTGTCAACTGGACACAGCCACCCTGCAGAATGTAGGCAGCATTCATTGTATCCCACTGATCTTATCCTTGAGAAAGTGAACCAGCTTGACACTTGTATTGGTTTTCTAATACTGCCATAAAAATTACCATAAACACAGCAGCATAACACAGATTTATCACTTCCCAGTTCCATAGGTGAGGAATCCAGCAAGGATCTCAGTGGGCTAAAATTAAGATATCAACCAGGCAGCTTTCCCCTCTGGAGGCTGTAGGGGACTTTGGCCTTTGGCCTTAGCCTTTTCCAGCTTTAAGAGGCCATATTCCTTGGCATGTGGCCCCTTCCTGCACCTTCAGCACTAGCACCAGCAGGTAGAGTCCTTCTCACATGGCATCATTCCGACTGCCTTCTTTGTGTCTTCCATTGTCAAGACGCTGTGCAATTACATGGGGGCTCCTGCACCATCCAGGATAACCTCCCCATCTCAAGGCCCTTATGCACATCTGTGAAATCCCTTTTGCCATGTAATGCAGCATATTCAGGGGTTCCAGGAATTAGGATGGTGATATTCTCAGAGGGGAGGCATCATGCGCCTACCACAACACTTCACTTAGGTGCCAACTATACTGGGACTTAAAAATATCTTTTCTAATTTCAACAGTTTAGTAAAATTAAGAAACTTCCTCAAGATGTGGTCCAGAACAGCCAATCAAGACAAAGCCAATTAAAAACCCTGGAAGTGCTCCATTGATGACTAAAAAGGTGCACAAGTGCTAGTCTTTTTATAGTAGTAGTTTAGTTTTTTGTTCTGTTTTTTTTCCAGGTATGTGTGCGGTTTCTCCCCTCCAAAGGCCGACTGTGTAGAATTCTCATCTTAGGCAAAGAGCGCCTAGTGGAGGAAGGGAAGATGAGGGAAGAGTGGGCGTGCCTGGGACCCCACTAACCCGGGCTGAGACCTTTCAGCTAGGTCTAAATGGGTCAGATGGGCTTTCTTCTGACCTGCCCTTGCCTGAACACTGGGATCCTTGCGCGCCTCCCCAGGTGGCCACGAGGGGGCGCCATGATCCTCTCCCTTGGAACTTGGCTGGTAAGCACGCGGCCAAGTGTGTCTCGAATCTTCCCTGCCAGATGTTAGCTGTGAGCATCCTGACTTGGTCACACATTCCTGGGGCTGGCCTAAGGCCTCGGAGGTTGGCTGCGGAGGCTGAGCACCTCAAGTGGAGCCATCTTGCCCTGTCTTCCTCACCAGGCTCTGACATGAGAGGAATGTTTTAGGCTTCTCCTGCTCGTGAAAAGTCTCCCTCATCTTCCTCTCAGACTCGGGCAGCCCTTTCCTATGTTGGCTTGCTCTGTATGTGGGGGTGGGCAGGTGGGGGTGGTGGCGATGGGGGTTGAGGCCAGAAGGTGCAAGGTGAGGGACAAGGAGTGGTAACCAAAAAAAAGGCTGGACAGAGAGCAGAGGCTGGGGAGAAGAGGGAATTAGAAGCAAGATAGGGAAGGGGAGGACCGGAGCTTCAATACCAAGGTGGTTTTAGTCTTGGCCTCAGAATGTCAGCTCCCTCTGGAAGGCTTCTTAGCTTCATCCTGGACACCCCCCCACACACGTGTGCACACAGGCACAGAGGCCCTGGTCTCACCGCCTGGCCTCCTTTTTCCCACGTGAAGACCCCGCTCCCACAACCTGATTCCGGGCATTCTCTCCTTTCCCACGGGGTCTCCCCTAGGCACAGAGCCCTCCTGGTCTTGTGGTGCTGGAGAGTCCAAAGCACAGAATGTCTCACGGGAATAGGAAGAGCAGCCCACCTTGGGTCATGAGGTCACCCTGCAGAATCTGGACCCAGCTGTTCCACATCATTCTTGGTTGACATACGTGAAATTGTCAAAATGTTGAAAAGAAAATCCAAGAAGATCCTTGGTACAGGTCATTCTTTCATGTAGAAAATTATGCTATGAAATCATAAACCTGGTGATCAATCAATCAATCCTCATCCTGTTAGGTAGAGACTTAGTAGGCGTCTTTCAGGTCCAGAGTAGTATACCACAATCCTGAACTCACAGCTCAACCTTAACGAGACACCAGGTTGTGAATGCCAGTTACAGAAGTGAACAGAACTAGGGCAGATCCCAGAAATGCCCAGGAAGGACAAGCTCTTTCACCCAATAGCTAAATACCCCCCTGTATTTGTCAGCTCTGGCTGCCATGATGACATACGTACTCCAGGTAGTTTAAACAGAAACCTATTTTCTCACAGTTCTGGAGGCTGAAAGTTCAAGACCAAGGTTGGAAGTTCTTGCCACTTTTGTTCCTGGTGGGACTTCTCTTGTAGGTTGCATATAACGGTCTTCTCATTATGTCCTCACACAGCCTCTTTTGGGTGCTCATCCTGGGCAGGAGTAGGGAGCCCAAGTGTAACTCTGGGGGGAAAATCTGTTCCCAGCCTGGGGCAAATTACCTTTTAAACTGAAATCAGTCAAAGGGAGAAATAACGTGGGAGAAACCCATTTATTGCTTACAAGCAGTTGTTCACTCCTGCCCACAGGTGTCTCTTGCCACCAGGCTGCAAAAAGGGACCCCACCTAACCTCTCCAGTCCAGATATGCCAAATCACCTGTATTGATATGGAGATGGACTACTTCTCTCCACCCCTTGGAAACACCTATTGATATGGAGATGCACTAAGGCCAGGGAGAGATTCTGGAAATACTGCAATTTTGCCCACAGCCCACCCCTCCAGTAATCTTGCCTTACAATCTACTTGCTCCCCATCTTCCACAGTGGCCCCTGTGTGAGAAAACTAGAGCACTGTAACCAGACTAATAACATACAATAGCAACAGCAATAAAATCATAATCCTCAATCCAGAGGATTCAGCTAGATTCAAACTCCTATGCAGGTTGAGTCCATCGCTCGCCCATTCCACGGGCACCAGTAGGTGAAAGGGTAGGGAGTTCAGAGTAATCATCATGTGGCAGCTGCAGCCAGGGACAGATCCAGGCCTCGGGGACTGTAGAGGAAAATAACATTAAGCGCGATAAGATACATATTTTAATGACACCAGCATAGGCAAATCCTGTCCATCAGGTAGGATACATTCAAGAGAGTGGTCCTGTGATAAAACAGTGGCAGGAATGGGATCTTGTCCTGGTCTAGTATACCAGACTTTCACCCCCCTCCCTGTGGGAGTTACAGATGGGTCAGTATATAGGGCTACGGGAGGTACATGCACTGGCCATAAAGACAAAACAAGAGTTCCCCATAAGATGCTCTTACCTCCCGACGTTTTGGGTACCCTACCCTGATCTTTGCTGTTACTCCAGTAATACACAAGAGGCCAGCTTCCAGGCCTTTTCTCCAAGGTGCAAGAAGGGCCAACTTATCGCTGGTCCATGTGTTGAAATGCCCAGGGCCAGGTCCACTCAACAGAATCTCCAGGGTTAATGCAGCTGGGGCTGGCAGCAGGATGTTGCTCTGCTGGCCATATCCTGGCTTCAATAGCTCCTCTTTGGTTTGCACATGCAGTTGTACGGGAGAGGCAGCAGGGTGTGTGAGCATATCCACAGGGCTCAAGGCTCCTTTTCAGGGCTTCTCATTCAAACGCCCTAGCACTGTCCATAAGTGAACTGACCAGCCCCAAGGACTATCATGCCTGCTCAGGTGGGGTTATATGGTACATGAAATTTCCACTTTATTCCTAATTGTTTCACCCATTCTTGTAATGCAAGTCCAGTAAAGTGGGTGCCTTGATCACTCAATCGCCTGAGGCCGGCCATAGGCTGCAAAGAAACGCCTTAGGCACCTTTTGGTGGTTTGCTGATTTGTTTCTTGATTTTTCTGTGGCTCAATTTTTCATTTAAAAATATGAGGGTCCAATAGGAGTTCTTCCTGCATGGGTTGTCCTAGGTTTTAAACTAAATGTGCACATAAAGCACTGGGCCCAGTGCCCGGCACATAATAACTACTCAACACATAGTGACTCCTACCAGTCCATCACCAGCATCATTTTTATTATCTGCTTTGTTCATTGAAACAATTACTGACCCCTTCAGGATATGGATGGCCATTGTAGATAAGTATTCCCAACTGATGGGGTAAAATTGGCTCCAATTTTTATTATTACAAACAATACTACAGGGACATCTAAATATATCTATGTCTTCATCAACACTTGTGTGTTTCTCTAGTATGTATTCCTATAAAGGGAATTGCTAATTTTATAAATATGTTTCTACAAAGCTGATTTTGCTACTTTCTTCCCTATTGCCTTGCATAGAAGCCTTATCAATTCATATTCTGAATTATTTCTGAGAATATTCTTTTCCCCACCCTCTTGCCAGCACTGGATAGCATCTGTACCTACCATTTATTTTTGCTAACAGTTAAACCCTTAAGAGATTTATTCAAATGAGTTTACAAACATGGCCTAAGTTAAGTGATATTCTGGAAAAGCTGACATCAATCTGATTTTTCTTTGCCGGGTTTTACTACTTCTCTGTTCTCTTAGATAATCTGAGTCAAGAGCAGTGCAAACATATCACTCTTACTTGGTGAATGCTGCTGCCTGTTGGGTTTGCACGTTGTTTTGGGTTTTGAGGGTGAGAGGCTGGTTCACAGAAGAGATTCAAGGCTGGGTTTGCCTGACTTCCACTGACAGAAAGCCAGGCTGCAGAGAACTGAGCACTCACTCACCCTGCGGAGGGAGGGCTCCATGATGGGGCCTGAGCAGCAGAAACATTGGAAAACAGACAATCAAGTTTAAATTTTTGATAGAATAAGAATAAAAAATAGATCTTTTCTTTCTTTCTAGTCAAAATAAGAGGAGAGATTACATTCAAAGGACTGTGGGGGAGCTTAAGGGAGGAGCTGTTCCATTGCTTT